TTCTATCCGAAGTGTTACGGAGAAAGATTCTGCAAAGGAGATTTGGGATGCCCTCATTAAATTATATGAGGTGAAGTCACTTCACACAAGGATATTCCTGAAGAGGAAACTCTATACTCTTCTGATGAGTGAGTCCACATCGGTGACGGACCACATCAACCAACCGAACACCTTGTTTGCCCAATTAGCAAGCAGCAAATTTCAACATAGTTGAGAATGAGCGTGCGGAGCTCTTACTTCGAGCTTGCCGAGACTCGTATGATCAACTCATCATCAACATTACAAATAATAATATTGAAGGACAACTACACTTTGACGATGTTGCCGGAGCTATTCTAGAAGAAGAATCCGAGCGAATGAATAAGGTAGAAAGTTCTAAACAAGCGAAGTTTTGACGATGATGAGAGGAAGATCGACGGAACGTGGCTCAAGTGGGAGTCAAGATCATGGCAGATCTAGCTCTCGAAACAAGAAGACTTTCAAATTTAAATGCTACTACTCGTGGCAAGAAAGGGCACACGAAGAAAGAGTGTTGGAAGAGGAAGAATGAAGAATCAACCTCACAAGGTTGCATTGCGAGTACTTCGAGAGGAAGGAGTAATTCTGTAAGCGAAGCAACAATCGCTCTAATGGCGGAAACGAATTTCATGACAAGTGGATAATGGATTCAGGTGCAACTTGGCATATGACCCTACACCGAGATTGGTTTCAAACCTACAAGCCTATCTCAGGTGGATCCGTGTTCATGGGAAATGACCATGCATTGGAGATTGCTCGGAGTTGGTACTGTCAAATTAAAAATGTATGACGGTACTATTCGCACAATCCAAGAAGTACGACATGTGAAGGACTTGAAGAAAAATATATTGTCTATAGGGCAATTGGATGACCTCGGCTGCAAGATCCATGTTGAAGGAGGAATCTTAAAGGTAGTGAGGGGAAACATAGTTGTCATGAAAGCAGAGAAAATCATGGCAAACTTGTATGTGCTTATGGGAGACACCTTGCAAGAAAATCATGCAACAACTGCGTCGACAAGCCAAGAAGAAGCGGCGATAACGTGGCACCGTAGACTTGGACATATGTCGAGCGAGGTCTGCAGATTCTTGCGGAACGTGATCTCATACCTGGGCTCAAGAAGGTCGATTTACCCTTCCGTGAGCATTGTGTGACAAGCAAACAACACAGGTTGAAGTTTGCAAGAACCACCACAAGGAGTAAGCAAACTTTGGACTTGATCCATTCTCGATGTCCGGGAATCACCGGAATTATCTCTCGGAGGAGCAAAATATTTTGTGTCGTTCATCGATGACTACTCGAGGAGATTATGTGTATACCCTATCAAGAAGAAGTCTGAAGTATTTGCGCGGTTCAAAGACTTCAAAGCACAAGTAGAACTTGAGACCGGAAGGAGAATCAAGTGTTTGAGAACAGACAATGGAGGAGAATATGTAGATGGAGATTTTCTAGTATTCTGCAAGCAAGAAGGAATTGTGAGACAATTTTCTGTTCCACACACGCCTCGCAGAATGGTGTAGCAGAGCGGATGAATAGAACTCTTCTAGAGAGAACTGCAGCTATGCCGCAAACCGTGATGCATAACTAAGTCTTTCTCGGCGGAAGCCGTGAATACCGCCTGTTACTTGATAAATCGGTCTCCATCAACAGCGAATTGGGTTGAAAACTCCTATGGAAATGTGGAGTGGAAAATCAACCGATTATTCTTCCTTACATGTGTTTGGTTGTCCCGCGTACGTGATGTACAACACCCAAGAAAGGACGAAGTTGGATCCAAAATCCAGGAAATGCATCTTCTTGGGATATGCCGACAATGTGAAGGGGTATCGCTTGTGGGATCCCACCGCCCACAAAGTTATTGTTAGCAGAGATGTCGTCTTTGCGAAAATGAACTGCAAAGCAAGCAGATAAATGACAACTCGGAAAAGGACAAGACTATAGTACAGATAGAGAAGAAGACTTCTGAACATTCCTCTCGAGTCGAGAGGATGAGCATGAAGAACATGAGCCAAATGAGGTGGAAGAAGGAGAACTCCGACGATCAACAAGAGAAAGAGTCGGACCATCTTGGCATTCACAATATGTGATGGCAAGTCATGATGCGTATTGTCTCCTAAGTGAAGAAGGAGAACCTTCAACTTTTCAAGAGGCCGTGAGTGGTTCGAAGCTCCTCTATGGATGGCCGCTATGGAAGAAGAAATTGAAGCTCTTCATAAAAACAAGACATGGCATCTTGTGGAACTTCCAAAAGGTCGCAGAGCCATTGGTTGCAAATGGGTCTATAAGATCAAGAGAGATGCCAATGATCAAGTGGAAAGATATCGTGCTAGACTCGGTGGTAAAAGGATATGCTCAAAAAGAAGGCATTGATTTCAACGAGATATTCTCACCAGTTGTTAGATTGACAACAATCGAATTGTCCTGGCGATGTGTGCTGCATTTGATTTACATCTTGAGCAATTGGATGTAAAAACTGCTTTTCTTCATGGAGAACTTGAAGAGGAAATATATATGCTCCAACCAGAAGGCTTCAAAGAGCAAGAAAACTTGGTTTGCAGGTTGAACAAATCTCTATACGGTCTAAAGCAGGCGCCAAGGTGTTGGTATAAGAGATTTGATTCCTTCATTATTAGCCTCGGATACTACAGACTAAGTTCGGACCATTGTACTTACCACAATAGGTTTGAAGAAAATGATTTCATCATATTGCTGTTGTATGTGGATGACATGTTGGTGGTAGGCCCTAACAAAGCTCGAATCCAAGAATTGAAGGCACAATTGGCTAGGGAGTTTGATATGAAGGACTTGGGACCAGCAAACAAGATTTTAGGGATGCAAATTCACCGAGACAGAAAAGATAGGAAGATTTGGCTTTCTCAAAAGAATTATTTACTTAAGATCTTGCGGTGCTTCAACATGCAAGATTGCAAGCCAATTTCTACCCCACTTCCTGTCAACTGTAAGTTATCCTCAAGTATGAGTCCTAGCAGTGAAGCGGAGAGGATCGAAATGTCTCGAGTACCGTATGCATCAGCAGTGGGAAGTCTTATGTATGCCATGATTTGTACAAGACCGGACATTGCACAAGCAGTGGGAGTGGTTAGTAGATTCATGGGGAATCCTGGTGGAGAGCATTGGCAAAATGTGAAGAGGATCCTTAGGTATATAAAAGGAACCTCAAATGTTGCATTATGTTATGGAGGATCGAAGCGGTTGTCGGAGGCTATGTAGATTCGGATTTTGCAGGTGATCTGGATAAAAGGAAGTCTACTACCTGGTTATGTGTTTACCATCAATGGAGGGGCAGTAAGTTGGTTATCCAAGTTACAAGATGTGGTAGCTCTATCTACTACAGAAGCTGAATACATGGCTGTCACCCAAGCATGTAAAGAAGCTATCTGGATTAAAAGAATAATGGGGGAACTTGGTCACAAGCAACAACAAATTGTTGTGTACTGTGATAGTCAAAGTGCCTTACACATTGCAAGAAATCCAGCCTTTCATTCAAGGACAAAACACATAGGAATAAGATATCATTTTGTTCGAGAAGTAGTAGAAGAAGGAAGTGTAGACTTACGGAAGATCCACACTGAGAAGAACCTAGCGAGATGTAATGACAAAGCCGGTTAATCGCTGACAAGTTTATATGGAGTCGATCCCTCTATGGCCTATCGAAGCATAAGCAACATGGATGTGAGAGAAGAAGACATAGTGTGAAGATTTGATTAATTTCATCAAAATCTTCAAGTGGGAGATTGTGAAGAAAGAAGTCCCACATCCGTGGGAACTTCAATTGGGGGCTCTCCTCCTTCCTATAAAAGGAGCCCCTCCCCCCTTATTTCAAACATCCCAAATATTTCTCCTTCTTTCTCTTTTACTTTCCTAGTATTGGTAATTTCCAATTGTAAAAGGAAAGAGTGGTCATTATAAAATTTTCATTTTTGCCTATTGTCAGGGTTATTTTTCTCGTCTCTATTTTAGTTGTGTGTATTTATGCTGGTACTCTGATCCTAACATATTTAATTTTAATCCATCAACCAGAAATTGAAATTATTTTTCGTCTTTCTTTGTTTTCTTTCCCTATTTCTCTAATTAAAAAAATGGTACAATGTAAATATGTATTTTCCCTTCCCAATTTCTTAATATTTCCCTATTTGTGCGTCTTTTAATTTTTAAACTTTAATTAAAATTTAGGGCAGCCAAAAATTAAATATTTTTACTAAACTCCGTGGAAGTTTTATAGATTTTGTTAAATATATGATTTGTTTTCTCTTGTCGGTTGAAGCATGTAATATTAAAACAATCAAAGTAAATAAACAACAGATCCACGGCGAAGATAATGTTCTTGTCTAAAGGTTTAGTGCATGCTTTTACTTTTAAAAATTTTAGTATCTTTATACTAATTTTTTTATATCAATTTTAAAAAAATAATCTTTTTTATGAATTAAAGTTAATTTATGTACAAATTAGAAATAAAAATTAAAAAAATTAAAGTAGATTTTTTTTTACAAAATAAATTATACATAATTTAATTTTAATTTATAAAAACTAACTTTAATATTTTATTAAAATATTTTTAGAGAAACTCTTCTAAATATACCTAAATTATAAATAATTTAAATTGTTTGAAGAAAAGAGATTAATCAAAAAGGGAGAATGTGTTATTTGAACTGAAAAAGAATTATATATAGATTTAGTAACGAGATTTTTACTTGAATACATTTTGAAATATATTCGTGAAATAATGACATCTATAAGTGTTGGATTAATTTTAACTTGTGATTTTTAGGTAATTACTTACTAGATTTGTATTAATGATCTGAAAAAAGAATCCAACTGATCAATCAGTTAAAAACTAAGTCACAGAATCAACACACAGAAAATTAGTCAAAGAACTAAAATAAACCTATCATATGGGATACGATAGCTATTCAATTCTCGAATCCTATTCATACATCATATTACAATACAAGGTGTTAGCCATGATACGGATTGAGTTGCAAGATCCTCACCCCTTTTCCTGGATGTGGAGTATCCTTTTGTTGTGTTTGTGTTGACCAAACAATCACTGTGAAACTATGGCCAGAACCAGTAACCACATCCTATTTGGACTCATTCCTTTTTTTCTAACCCAACCATTCTAAGTGAAGCAAACTACTATGTAGCTCTGAATAACCCTGCTAAAAAACAGGTAAGAAAAGAAAGATAATCAAACTAACATGAAAGGAAACACCCTACCCCATTAATTCATAGTAATACTAATTGTGTTGGTTTCTTGAATGACAGGTTACCAAGAGGGAAATGATGGGAAAATTGAAGAATTGGAAACGGAGGTCTTATAAGGATGCATTCCTAAACGGTGGTCATTTTGTTCCATCTGGTTATGGAAGTTGTGACCCAAATTATTCACCTTCTCAATTTTTTACTGCTGTACCTGCTTCATTGGTGCCTGCAATAACTCTAAACACAGGTCCCCTAACTTGTGTTGTAGGTAAAGCATGTTAGTTTTGTCTTGCAAGTTGCATTTCTATATCTCTGTCGTTAATTTTCTTGTTTTGGTTGATTCCCGAAGACGCAATTTGGAATCATGCATCAGAGTAGGCCAATTAACTGCTTAGCAAAATTGTGACACTTGCCAGATTCGTTTCTTAAGTTTGTTGTCAAAAAAAAGTTTGAAGGATATGATTCTCCAGCAGAGTCCTTTCTTTCTAATAGACTATGCATAAACCCGACATTAATAAAGAAAACCATATCGAAGTCGGAAAAATTGGGACGCAATTCTATGGCTGTATAATTGTCGTGTATATAAACAAATAACACAATAAAAAAGTAACAAAAGGAAGATTTGTGTGTATGGTTGACATCATTTGGTGGTCTTCAGAATAGCCTATTTTCGTTGCTTTGAACTCCACATGTGACTGGTGCTTTAGCTCTCACTTTCTTCAAGTACCAAACAGCAGCTCCAATTCCAAATGCACCTGCAACGGAAACGCCCGTAACTGTCCCTGCAACCACAAACATAAGCCTAATGATCCACTTCAAAATCTCACGTTAATTGCATCTATATGCTGTACCTGCGATAACATGGACCCTCCTATTGTGCCTTGCAATGTCATAATCTGCCAAACAAATAATAGTCTATTACACACTTAAGCAAACGGTTAAACACTTAAATAATCATTTGATCCACATAAGTGACAATCATTCAGGAATTAATTTCTGCAAAAAAAATGTCTCTAGTTGTAGTTTGTACAAAGATTAATAAGGCCACATAAGGACTAAAACTTAATATTGTTTTCATGTTACATGTAATTTTACTAGCCCATTATATATAGGTGTTGGTTTTGTGCTATATAAAGAATAAAAAACCAAATGATTAGTATAAACTTATAATAGTATTGAAATTGAACATACCTTTACAATGAGTAGTGGAGTTTCCATCCTTACAAAGACACGTGAAGGTCTGATTCTGAGTGTCAAATCCACAAGTCCCACCTCCTTTCAACGGATCCTGGCACTGAAGGCAGCGCGTTGTTACCGGGATATCAAAATCAACTCTGATCCCATATTCCGGAACCTGATCATAAGGCATAGGAGCACCAACGTTCTTCCAATAAACGCTAGCATAACTGGTGCAATACTTAAGCATCAACCTAAGAGACGCGGTGGCCTTGGGATAGTACGAACAACAAGTACTACGAGGGAGCGCAAAGGAGCAGCCAGGCAAGTGCCTGCAGAGATAGCTAGCACTGTCACAGGAAGAGTCACAGTGTTCAGGAAAGTGCTCACAAAACATGGGCTTGGGCTGAATGATGACGTTGTCCTCGCTGCAATTGAAGAACATGTACTCGTTCTGCGGAGAGAGCTTGAAGTGGGTGCTGGTCTCCAAACTGAAGGGTCTCGTGGGACGAAACCTCTCACCGTCCTCGCAGCTCCACATGAAGGGATCAGTGACCACAACGTGTGGATCAGCGTAGCTCACGTTGCGAACCGGGTATCTCCCCGAAGGGGATCTGAGTTCGAGTTTTCCCGAGTTGGAACATGCGAATATGTGTCTGTAGTATGGGCTTCCGCATCCGTCGTCGATGCCGAATGGGTACTTGATGGGGATGTCGCCGCAGGATGTTCTGCACACGGTGGATTGGGATGTTGTGAGAGTGAGAAATGATGAGAAAATGAGTAGTGATGATGAGATTGTGCGAATAAGCATGTTGTGTGTGAGAGGCATAGCCATGAGTTACTTTCTCAATCACTGGATGGTTTTCCTGACAGAAATGGACTCAACTCAAGTATTGGTGGTGAGTGTGAAAGAAAAAAAGAATATTGGTGAAGTGTTGCTTTTATAGTCTTCTTTTGCTTTTATTCCCTTTTGCTTTCTTTGATCCCTGCATTTCTTCTCCTTACTTCTTACTTTTGCTTTCTGCATTGTTAAGCTCTGGACACAACGTTAATGGAATTCAACAACTCGAGATTATTCATGTTATTCAAAAATTGTGCACAAATTGGGCACCACAGGTCTGTCTTTCTGTTAATTAATATAAAGTTGGGCCAAGATATTTTTTGGTCCAACCTATAATAGTCCAACTACCAAATACTAACTGGGAACAGGCCCAAGGGCTTGGCCCATATTCGGCAAAATAACTTGCCTATAACTGAGGAAATAACAGAATGGGCCCACAAGGCAAAGGAAATAAAAAAAGCCATCTAAAGTCACCGGCGACAGATAAAAGCGAAATGGGCTTTGGAGTTTGGACAACGCAGAATAAAACACCAAGGCCACTGGAAAAATAGTTTAATGGTATCACATGCTTTTTACACGACCTCAATAGCGACACTGTCATCATCACTCTCTCCACTAGGGTTTGGAACATCTTACAAATACATCCAAATATGATGATATATTGGAATGAAACTACAAAACTATAAAAAGTTAATTCTATGAATTCCATCAAATATTTCATCTATTAATTATTTTATTAATATATTAAATAATAAAACTAAACACTTATGATATTTAACTGCTCTTGTATTAGACTTGTTCATAAAAAAATGTTTCCTAATATATATATATATATATATATATATAGATAGATAGAGAGAGAGAGAGAGAGAGAGAGGGAGATTTTTATTTACATTAAAAATAAATTTTTAAAAAATGTCTTTTATTTTTTTAAATTAATGATAATGACAAGTTATTGTGTTAGATTGTTAAATTAAGAAAATTATGAATAGGGATTATAAAGAGTAAGTTTTCTGTATTTATATTTGGACTTTATATATATATATATAATTGGGCAATAGAAGTGCCATGAATCCAATGCCACATAAAACTATATTATTATTTACGATATTTTCTTCCTTGCGGCTGAGGAAAGTGACCAAGAAACTCATCAAAGCACGAAAGGGTATAAAGAATACAAGACATCAACTCTGCTCAACAAAAAACAACTGCATCAATGAAAAAAAAAAATACTTGGATGTTTTTTATTAAAATTTGATACACTTATATTTAGATAATACAAAAAAAGAATTGAGCACTTAAAATTTACTTGTTAAGAAAAAATAAATTGGAATAATTTATTTCAATATTAAATATGGTTTATTTTAATATTATGAAGTTTAACATATAAGCATTGAAATGACATATCGATTATTAAATAAATTTATAAAGACTACGAAATTCCATATAGAAATGGTGCATAGATTGAGCTATATATATATATAAATTATTTGTACTTGAGTCATTAAATTATATTTAACTAAGCTCGTTTATTTGAATTAATAAATAGTCTTAATTTGACTTTAAGCTCAATTATACAAGTTTGTCAATATAAGTTTTTAAAAGTTGTATCACAAAATAAAATGTGACCTTTCTATTTGACTTATTTAAATAAACGAGTCAAAACATGATAATGTATTGCTTAAGTGAAAAACTAAAAAAATTGATTTGCATATGATTTTTAAAATAATAATGTTTTACTGATTAAACTTTAACCTTAACTATTAAGAAATAATTATATATATGATAAAGATTTATAGCCGTGAAATTCTTAAATCAAATTATTCTTGTAATATATACCCGGCTATGTAAGCTAAGTAAGAGTAAGTTTAAGTGTTGAACTTTACTCAATTAAAAAAAATTATTTTTTATTTATAGCACTACTTAGTTTAGCGCATAATAGATTATTTAAAATAGAAAATATTTATCTCTAGATACATACACGCAACAGCAACAACAAAATCACACCCGTTTAGTATTTAAATTGGTAACACTTAAGTCATTAAAAGTATCCTGGTAAATTTACATCTGATATGTCATATATAGATTGCATTTTTATGTACTTATAATTTGGTTTGCGAACTCAAAATTATAGGTGTAGGGGGACTAAAATAAATTATTTTATCAAGTATGAGGATGAAAAAAGATAAAGTTTGCAAAGTTATGAGATAATTAAGTCTAAAGAACAATATTTAATATCTGAATGCATGGATACGTTGATACGATGTCAATGATGAAATTACTTAATTATTTAGCCTAAATAGATTGCTGTGTCTATTATATACTCCGTGGCAGGAAGACAAATCTGATGGAAAACTTGTCCAACATCAGCACACAATCGATGTTATTTTTTATTAAAAAAATGGATAAAAATGAGACAAAACGATGGAGTAATTGGTTGGATTTATTGAAGTGAAGATGAGGAGATAATAATTGTAATGTGAAAGGTATCAACAAGTTTCTTAAGATGGTACGCAACAAAGAGCTGTCATGATGCAGAGTCTCTTTCTCTCTCTATGCCAATTTGGTCTGCATATTTTCTACAAATCCCTGCTGTCACAACCTAACCTCACACCATATTTCTACGTCAACACAAGTAAGCCACGTGGGGCAGGATCTAATCGTCAACCAATATCCTAGTCAACTCTAACCTTTTTCTCCCTCTTCTCTTTCTTCAACTCTTCAAATCCTCCCATTTTTATTCACATCTCTCTCACCTCAACCTCTACTAATGCCATCTATACCTTTTTTTTTTATGTCTCTCCATTAATAATTCAACTCAAATTACTCCTTAAATAATCACTGTTATATGCCATCAATAATTCTACCCTTCTTTTTTTAAAACAGATTTTGAGATTTAAGATTTAATCTTGACCTGACGGTGAGGTATGAGTGAAGTAGGAACAATTATGTGTGAATGTGCGATACGTACGTCATTGACTATTTGCTTTATTTGAAGACTCTGTCTATATTTCTCGGAAAATAAAACCTATATATTACCTGCATTTGCTGACCAACGACCAAGCATGTCTGACTAATTATGGTGATAATAAATTTTGATTTATAGTGATGAAGATGTGAGGTTATGAGGCCCCTGAAATTGAACGCTTTTAATTCAAGAAATTATTACGTTAGTTGTTTGAACATGGTTCTGATTTTAATGAGCTTCGTAATGCAGTACTGCTGCTACTCTCTCTATCTATGGACGTTGTAAATTTGTTAAGGTGCCTTTTTTCCTATGTCGGCATCAGCGACTATGTATATATGTCTATAAAATATAACCATGTGCTAAGCCTCTGGTTTCATCTTTTTATAAAGAATTTCACTACCTTTTTCACTACCTTTTTCACATGCTTTAGGCAAACAATTTCTGCACGGGACCGTGTTTCTTCCCTTAATTAGCAGCCGCATCCATCTGTTTGCTAGATACTTTTCTTTGGGCGTTGGAAATAATTTGAACGCAGACATTTCTCTCTGCTTCTGTAAATCAATGCAGACAAAGCCATGCATGGACAATTATCCACTGTTTGAATCTCATGGGTTGGGATCAGAGTCCAACGCACGTGTTTGGCCAATTAGTTAACTAAGAAAAACAAAATAAAACACCAATATTATACTTGTCTGTCATTGACAAATTTAGTGACTTTTAAGAAAGAGTCTTGCTATGTGTTTTTTTTTCAATTTTTGTTTTTTTTTTCTTTAACCAATATATCTTGATTAGTTTACCGTCAACTATGTATAATTATAATCAAAATTAGTTTCTTTAGTAAATTTTTTGAAAGTAATTTACAAATAATTATATCACAAAAATAATAAGTTATATTATTAACTAACAAGTAGATAATCACTTAAAAATAAAACTTAGTACCGTGTTATCTTTCATTGTATTCTTGTCTTTTTATTGTATTCCATTTTACGATAGTATACTATCTAATATAGTTATATTTTATTAAGGATAAGATTGTCGAATTTTATATATAAGAACACTTTGCTCATATATTTATAATAAGCTCGTATATTTATAATTAAAATTTTACTAATTATTTATCATTGACTTAAGCGTATGATTATTCTAATGTAAATTTAGTGTTTTGCTATTTATTATAGTTGCTTATCTCATTTCACAGCTTAGATTTTTGTGATTGAACATTTGAAGAGTGTGATGTATAGATGTGGGTAAAGATGAATCAGTATAATGGTCTTTTTTTGTTTTTCTTCAATAACAATAATAATAATTTCTTCTTCAATATTACAACTGCATGTATTTATATAAACAAATAAAGAAAGAAAATAAAAACAATTACAATACTAAATACTTAAACAGCTAATTAATTAAAGTTTGAGATTACCTTGACGAATTTGTCAAACGATGAAACTTAACCGTTGTTGTGAATTTCTTGGACAACAATAAATAGGAGAAAATAAAATCAAACTATCAATCCAAATACAAAAAAGTGTCATGACTCTATGAGAACTGAGATACAAATAAACACTAGAAAAGCGAATTCATTAAAGAATAAAAGTATAAAGGAAGAATTAAACTAAAAGTTTTAAAATTGAAATGTATTTTATGGATTTGTATTTTATTTACTTTAGTTGAGATAGAAAGAAAAGAAAGACACGATTAAAACATAAACAGCTACACTTTCGTGTAAGATCTACGCGTGACAGTTGTCTTGGAAGAATTTTCTGATTTAAACGTTAATAGTGGACATGGAAATGTCCCTTTCAATTTAAAAAAATAATAATAATAATTTCGAAGTGTAATATATATATATATATATATATATATATATATATAATCGAAATAGTTACATGCAAAATCTTGTAAAATAAAATTTTAGGTGTTAAAACGGTAGCACTTTTTTCTTCCATCTATCTGGTCTATATTCTTGTGGAGTTACTAATTAGTCAACGTTCAATGGACGTTGTCTTTCCTTTAATGTGGGTATGTT